TGTGGAAGTAATGAAAAGACGACTGTGAACTGTTGAAAATTAATTTCAAAAGAAAATGCATATTGTCTAAGTTTCATGAGTTGAGGTTTATAATACATATATTAACTTCATTTGTCATTGCCTTTCAGTTGCTCAATAATGACTCCATTAGTCTATTCAATTTTTTAAAAAATATATCGATTTTCTAGACCCGATATTTCAAAAATGAAGCGATGAAAGAAAAAATTCTTTTTATCAATTGATAGCTGATGAAGTGCACTACAGAAAGGATGTTCTTATCCTTTTCAAATGTAACTCTTCCTTTATTTTTCTGTAATCATTCTAGAAATAGTTACTCCAGTGACCAATAGAGAAGGATCGAGGAAAGGGTTGAAATAAGAATATGTGTAATGAAAAAAAAGTTGGGTTAAAAACGATTTTAATAGTGTTACTAATTACGTACTCTCTTAACTAGGATATCAAATGGGTGTAATGAATTTTGAATAATAACTGAGGTGTTACTATTACACATATGTCCTATGTTTGTTCTATTTTCTATCGTCGCTAACCACAAAAACAAAATTAAAGTGAGTCCAACACTTATGAAATATGGCTATTCACTTCTTCTTTATTTTTACTCATGTAAAAAGAAATTACTGAATAACAAGAAAATTCTGCTACTTTTCTCTGAACAATAAATAGGAAAATAAGAAAAACTATCATTATCGATGACGTTTGATTGTTCCACAGGTATCTATGATTTCAATGCAAGCACTACAAATTTAAAGGCTAACTTATCTTCAACATACTCCTTTGGATTACCAATGTACCATCTATATTAATTCTTAACTCATAATAAGCTGTTAAAGAAATGAAAAGACGACCGAGAAAGAACTGTTTACTATTATGAATGAAAGAGAAAAAAATGGCACTATCATATAACAAATCGATGATTGAATGAGAAATTGAACATAAATAATACACAGCTGAACAGAATAAAACTGAAGAGAAGGGAAAATGAAAAATAAATATACATTTCAACATGTAAATAAACGTTTATACCCTTAAAACAATCGATATACTAGATTATGCTAAAGAAATAACGATTGATGATAGCTTAAGGCATACTGTCACATGGAATCGAACCAAAAAACCTTTCACATATAGATGAGGACTGATGTTCAAATGTTACATAATCATAAGTCGGAGAAATCAATTTCTGAGCTTTGTTGAGAACCTTTTATGCTTCATCTATATATCAGCATCAGCGAAAGAAGAAAATTTAGAAAAAGTTACGACACTCACTAAACCGTAATATTTTCAAATAAATAAAGAAAAAATAATAAACTTGTTTATTCAAGTTAATTGAATATTAGTAGAGTTGCAAGTGACACCAACACTCAATGTTATAAATATACTAATATTGTCTTAGTTCCTATCATATACGAAATATAAAGCTAAAATTTGTTTTTGTAACTTGGTGTCTTCCATATCTTTTTTTTCTTCTTTCTTTTATCTTTCACAGAAAGACATGTAACTTAAAAGTTTCTAGCAAAAAATTCACCATTTTTAATGTTTTCTCTTCATTTATGCCCTTAATGATAAAATTAGGCAAAACTGAGCAACAAATAATAGAACTACTGTATATGTAACGGAATGTGGATAATCTCTTCGTTAGGCAGTGAAAAGTACTACAAGTTTCGGTAGACTACTCCAGCTGAACTTGCGGAGATAATACGATTTACTCCATGCAGAAAAAGTGTGTTGTTCGAAATTAGCCGACAAAGCATAACTCGGATCAGATCAATGGTGTTCTTAGCATTCATATAATAACTCAACGAAATGTTGGAATATCTTCAATATTTTTTCAAGGCAAAATCATAATCGAATGATCTGAAGTATCTCAACTGACTACAGATTATAGGACAAAAACGTCTATATCTATGATCAGTGACGCAGTCAGAAATTTTTTAGGGGGGGACCGCAATAAAAAAAAGACATTTTTTGACTAGCAAAAACGAATTAGCCTGTACCTCCCTCCAGGCATTTCGGTCTTTCGGGGGGGGGGGGGGGGGGGGGGGGGGGGGGGGGGATCGATCCCCATAATCCCCCCTTGGCTGCGTCACTGTCTATGATTGTGATAAGTTCCCATCGCGTTCTGAATCCCATGTCTAGATTCATAGACTGTGAAAACGAAATCAAATATTATATATTTTTGGTAATCTTTGGTTCAGTAAACAACTCCGTTCTGGATAAAAAAGCTTTCACTTTAATTCCTGCAGGGTTCAAATGTGAAGCACAATGATATTACGTTACCTATGGACAAGATTTCTGGTACCCTATTTCAGAGTCTACAGTGAAGTCAAGTAAGTATAATCTCGGAATGCTGTTATAGCCTGCGATGTAGTCAGAATATTACAACACCAACTCTGTTGCGATTCATGGAGCAAACTGGTCGTTCTAAGTTTGCATTTCTTGCTATAGCATGCAACATTTACAAACAATAGTGCTTCACAAAGACTCGAATTCAATAATGTTTAATTAGATAGAAAGTGAAGATTTCAGAGGAGTTTTATCCAGAAAGTAAGTGTCTCGAACGGAGTACAGACGGATGCTGAATCTTCCTCACTTAATGTCTGTTACATCCTTACCTCGTGGAAATTCCAAATATGTACCATAGACAATGAAGAGCTTGATGTCATCACACCAATAGTTTGTCTGATTGCTGTGATTGCCGATCGCACTAAACTCGACGAGCACTTCGAGTTCTCGCATGCTGTCATCCAAAACTAGACTGATACTATCTTTACTTGAACCTGTATACAAAATATGTGCCGTAATTGGTTCTAGTAGTTTACTGAAACTTACTTAATTTTTGTTGAGCAAGAATATGTCCGATGTTGTTGATTCCTTTCAATTGAATGGATACACCAACGCTCATACTTGCACTCAGTATGGCTTTGGAATATGGCCAGGAATTCGAATTCCACTTATTTGATAAACTGATGCGTTGTAACATAGCAGCTCCAGTAGCAAGTGATTGTAACGTGAATCGGCAGTTCGTACTATTATTATCAGACGTCATCGCAGTGGCATTGCCAATTTGTATTATCCAACTGCTAACGAGAGCAATATTGCAATCAGCATGGCCGTTGTTAATCAAGTTCGTATCATGAGCAAATGTTTCATTGGGTAGTAGAGCGTCTTGAATAGAAAGAGCTCTTTGTAGTTGACTCTCTGAAACTTTAGTGCCAGTAAAGTCGGCTTTGTGCAAGTTGACACCGGAAAAATCAACCTCGGTCAAGTCAGCTTCCTTGAAGATAGTGCGCTTAACATTAGAGCTCATGAACTTAGAATATGATAAATCAGCAGAAGTGAAATCAGCGGCAATAGCAGTAGTTTTTTCGAAGCATGTGTCACGTATTGTCGCACTTCTAAAATTGGCTGAAGCTAAAAATGCAATGGAAAAATAACTTTCATGAAAAAGGAGTAAAACTATTGTGAACATTACCTAAAATAGCGGATGAAAAATTAGCAGATCTTAATGCAGCAGATGAAAAGCTAACTTTATCGAGCTCGGTGAATACAAATTTGACATTGTTGAGCAGTGAAGATGAGAATGTGACATTAAAGAGCCGAGCGAATGAAAAGCTTGCATGGTCGAACTGTGCCGATGAAAATTCTATACTGTTGAGCTGAGCTAATGATAGGTTGGTATTGAAGAATGAAGCCTTGAAAAAGGGAGCACCATAGAGCTTAGTCGATATAAATTTGACACCATCGAGCCTAGCGAATGAGAATTCGATATTCGACGAGAAAGAAGATGAAAAGGTGCAATTGAACAGCGATGAGTTCGAAAAGTCGACATTTTTTAGTTTGCTAGATGAAAAATCGATATTCTTAAGTGTAGCAAACGTGAAGTCGATATTTTCGAGTCGAGCAGACGAAAAATTGATATTATCAAGTTCGGCCATTGAAAAGTTAACAGTATCGAGTTGAGTGAATGAAAAGTTAGCATTGTCAAAAATAGCGGATGAAAAATTGGCATTTTGAAGTCTTCCAGCTGAAAAGTTAACCGCTTCAAACTCAGTATTATTAAAGTTAATGTGCTCCATCTCAATGCCTATAAATGTGGCATTCGATAG